TGAACAGCTTTTTAGAGATTCATCTCTTCATGCAGCCTGCACCAATTTCCCAGCAGCCACTCCGGCTCTTCCTCTCATGTTCCTCTCCCTCACATCATACGCTGGTCGGGATTACTTGACAAGCGCACCGTGACACGCTGTGCATCCTGCAGCTGTGACGCTCCATGAATACTGATGATGGCCCGTATCGACGATGCTAAGTTGTTTGAGCAGCCGAGCGTTGGTTTGATGTCAATTGTTCTGAGGTTTTTTTTTGGAGCTCAGAGTGCATGTGTATGTATATACTGTATGTTTGTATGAATGTTTTTAGGGAGTGCAGCAGAGGAGTAAAGCTGCACATGAGAATGACTAAAAGGCCAGCATGTGAACACAAACAGCCTTAGACTTATTACACACAGAGGAATGCAAATTTTAAAACAGAGTATGGAGGGAAAAGTGGATCAGATTTGATCTGGACTCGGCTTTATCTTCCACTCTTCGCAGTTTCTTCCTCCTTTTTCTCTCCTTCCCTCAAACTTATTACAGCCGTGCGCTCCTCTCCCTCTGCTCCACACAGATAACAAGCAGCTGCACTCATCTGCTGACTCCTCTTCACCCAAAGCATCGCTTATCATCCTTAAACACACCGCTCCTGTGAAACTAATTATTGTGCTGGCTTTCTGCCGCTTTGTCGCCGGACCAGTCATGTCATAAAGAAGTGAGGATTTCCAGCCCAGCTGCTGCTCTCTCTTGTCCTTTTTGGCTTCTCTCTCAGAGGCCCGCTCAGGTGATGATTCAGATGTTTCAGTTTTGAAACTGCACGGTCAGAGAGTCAGCGTGAATCACATGTTACCCTTCCACTAAAGCCAGTGATGTTTCAGTGCTTTAGTGTTTCAGTCTGCAGGGACACTGCCAGCGTTTGCCGAAGGGAGAGATGAATCCCAACTTGAATTTGTAAGTGACACACACTCCCACACAAGAAAGTGAGATTTTTACACATTCAGAGATTTACACTTCACCATATGTTTGACTAAAGAAGAAAAATATGTCTGTGATTGTGCAATGAGTTTTTCAAGCAACATTTAATATTTTATGAAAAACATTTGATTCGACTATAATTCAGCCCTTCTTCTTATATAGTAGATATTCAGTTTTTTCTGTCAGTTTACGACACTTCATAATACCTCGACACAGTCATGTAAGTACATACACAAACATGCTGGCGTGTGTAAGCCTTCAGTTTCTTGAAATTTCTTCATCCAATTAAAAATTTGAGCGATCGGATAATCTGAATCCACTAATTATATGGTTGCAAAATCAAACGATCTGATCATGACGTGCGTATACATGCACCAAGCTTTATTCAGATTAGAAGCATTTGGACATGCGCAGAGTTGTCTGATTTCTGAAAAAGAGTTGTATTTACGTCTGTGCTGTCAACAAACTAACAAATGTGGTAGTACCTCAAGACATCCAATTCAGGAGTTTTCCCCCTGTTAAATGTTGTCACTAGATGGCGCCCTTGCGTACTTATTTTTACCGTTTATTTATTTTACCGATTATTTGTGCCCATGTAAACACAGCTACTGTCATTGCATGCATGTATTGAATGCGCATAATTATATTCATGTCTGCAGGTGAACTTTTTTAAGCTATAATCTGCTCATACTAATACTACACTGATATTATCAAGCATCAATAAGCAACATCGTTTCATTTCAGCTCATTGCGATCTTGGAAGACGGAAAAAGAAAGCCTCCACATGCACCAACACTCGGGCTGGTGAAATCATGGCACCTGCCGGTGTTGTGCAGGTTCACACTAAAACTGAGTGAAGTCAAAGTTCAGTTCACATGAATCAAAATGAGCCAGTTTGTTTAGTTTCAGCTGTACCCACATCATCCATCAGCAGAGCCTCATAATCTTTTATTCCTAGCCCTGAATTACTGACACCCCCTGAACTAAATATTTAGTTCAAAAGCCAAGAAACCCCCATTTTCGTGTGTTTTATCATCTAGATATGGAGAAAGATATGCTCTGTAACTGATGATTTGGGAGAGATAATTTTCACAGTCCCAAAACGCTGCACCTCTCTGGAACCAAACAAGGTCTTAATCTGGTGTGATCGGCCCTGATTTGTTTGTCCGTAACTCCTGATGCCTCTCAAGCAAAAGTGAGCAACTTTTCACTGTTAAAATCTAATAACTGATCTACCAAAAATAGCACAAACCATGTTTGGGAAAACTTATTTCAAGTGTATTTGTAATTTCAAAGTTTGGCCATTTTCACCTCTGCTCACATGTGAGAAGCAGGGTTCAAGACTTTTACGGCAACCAGCCAGCTGGGGGAGCTCTTAGTGTCTTGGATCCAAAGTGGAATGGACAGTTTGTGGTTATGAGTCAGAATGAGTTTGTTTGACCTCCGAGCTAAAAGTGAGCAGGAGGGTCACTGAAAATAAAAGGGAAATTTGTCATCAAAAAGACGGTAGCAGCAGATGATCTGCAGGAAAACAGCCTAAGTGCTGCGATGATGATGATGATGATGATGCATTGTTCCGAGACTGAGTGGATTGTACCCTAATACAGAAACAAAACACAGCTGATTGATCAATTCATTAATGCTGCATCCTCTCCGCCGCCCCCAGACGCTGGTCTTTGCAGCACCTGATTATTTTTGCAGAGATAGTTTAGCTCTGACTCGGCACGCAGAGAGGGCTGATTGAAATCTGATGGATAATTTATGTTGTGGAGGTGAGCCTGTAATTTCCAGGGGAGCCATACTCTGTGTGCATGGCTGGTCACCATGAATGATTAATACGTAAACATTATTCATAACTTTCCCTCATAAATTTTAGCTGGTCATTAATTCCGCCAGAGTCCACGTAGGTTAGAGGAGGAGAGAAGGAGAAGGAGGGAGGATGAGATTCAGGCGAAGATGCAAAACGCCTTAAATAGCGTGCATGCTCAAAAACAACTAAGACTTCAATAGATCATTTTAATCAAGTTCAGGTGCTTCTTTTTATTATTTTTGTGTTGTTTTGGGGACAGAACATGGTGGTTAAACATGCTGTTAACATTTTCAGTCCAGTGGTTTGAACTAATTAGCTGCTAATTAGCCCGCGTCTGCCCGGCCCTCTGAGAGATGTTTCTTGGTGGTTTTTGCAGAAAGAGGAGTCTCAAAGAGCGGCTGAGGAGGTGAGAGGCTCTGACAGAAACGAGAGAAGATTGATTGTCGTGGATAATGAGTGCATGAAATGTGCAACACTGTGCAGGTCTGAGAGTTTGATTAACAGCGTCTGTGATATAACTCCCTCAGGAGGACAATGCAGCAGGTTTATGGTTGATAAAAATACGCTCTCTGACCTGAAATACATCAGACCTATTACATTAGGAGTGGTTAGAGCCTCAGCTCTTCTCTCTATCTGTAAGTTTAAAATAAAACACTGAAATGAACATGCTGTACATATTGTCTAGCACAAATGAACTGTTTTGAAGTAAACACGTGTTCACAGTTTAGGTGGATGCAGAAGATGTACTCTAAAGGTTTCAAACATAGACTGTGTATAAGATGGACAACCTGGTTCCGCCTTCCGCCTGTATACAGATTTGAAGCCAAAAAGCTCTCGGTAATTCCGGGTTTTTCTCCACTTCTTTGAAACCAGAGCTGCGCAGTAGCGATGCGCGCATTCGGCCGCGCAGTCGCAGAGAGTCCCTGTGATGACGCTCGGCTCAAACAGCGTATCCCCCCGGGAGAGCTACGCAATCCCTGAACGCCCATAGGCTGTACCAGGTGTCAATCATAGAAAACATGAACCCCTAATAACTTTTAAAAACGGAGCTGTACAGAAAAAAAAGGACTTAAGCACAAACCAGTCTTACTGTAACTACATGTCAACATCACAAGCAGGGGGAAGAAAAATTTATGTTCTGTGTAATAAATTTCTAAAGTTTGTCCACAGTCCCATAAGCTTTGCTGGCGGAGGCGGGATTTATGACCTATAGTGCAGCCCACCATCAGAGGGCGCTGTTCTCGGAGTGGCTTCACCCAGCGAGGAGGCAGACTCTGTCCATCTTACATACAGGCTGTGTCTCATTTCAGAGACCGCATCGGGATAAGCGAGAGCATGATCTCTGAACTCACTAAAATCTGTAAACCAAACATTATAGATTTAGAGACGAACTGATCCGCTCTGCTTCAACTATCAAAAACATTAGAAATAAGAAAGCTGACACAACTACAGCAGAGGATCAGGACAACATTGAGTTTTTTTTTCTTTTAAGATTTAGAGATTAAAGTTGTAAATTTAGGAGAATAAAGTCATAAAGTATATAAAGTCATAAAGCTGCTTTTGTGGAGGGGGAAATGACTGAAGCTGGTCATCTGCAGGGTTATCTGTGGATGTATCACCGGGTCATTCAGAGAGATTTTGTGGTTTCTGAAGAAACAATCAAACTGATGATGATCAACATTTGTGATCCAGAGGGAGTCGAGCTCCGACAAGCACCACATCTCTGACACCGACGGTAACCTACACCTGCAGAGACACCAACACCTTACTATGGCATATGGATTCATATCATAAACTAAAGCTCAATGTCATTCACGGATATTTACGGCTGCATTGACAGATATATCCTCAGCATATTCATTTCTGCCTCCACAAAAGCAGCGATTTCCTTCAAGTACACCAGTTTTTTTCCCCGTGGAAAAGACGTATTTCTCAGATATTCTTTTTTTAAGTCTTTATACTTATGACAATGTGATGCTGATGTGCCAGAGGATGAAGTATCTCCTTGTTTGTGAAACCTATACTGAAGCACAGTTCCTTCAAATGCTTCATGGCCCTAATTTTAACAAAGTCTCCTCTGAAATAACAGGAAACTTTAACAAAGTACAGTGATATAGGAAAAAAACATGATTGTCTCGTGTGTCCACATGAGTCAGTGGGTTCAAGCCTTATTGGGGACGCCCTCTGCCAGCCCCCGGCCATCCGCCGCGCGGAGATGTGAGCTTGTGAAACGATGAGGGCGTCTCAGAATATGCGGGTACAGGACTCTGGACTCAGTGGAGGAAGGCGTGTGGAAGACATCTCATCTCTGGTGGAGGGACTACGACAGTATCTCGGCAGATTTCACACCACAAAATGCAAGTCGGGACGTGTAGGTTTGGAGGTTGAGTGTCTGTGGAGAGGTAGACGACGTACACAAGCACCTCATTCCCTAAAGCTTTTGTAGTATTTGCTCTACAGACCACGAGATTTCAAGAATGGCTTTCTGCTCTCATGTTTTTTTGTGCAGATCTCGTCCCATCGGACCCCGAGACATTTCTGTTGGATGTGATTTGAACAGTGCTCCTGTATAAACATCACTCACATTTCTAATCCCAAACTTGTCATTTTTCACCTGAAACCCTCACACGCCCAACACACTGATAGTCGTCACGCTGAAACCTGGACTGAAGCCTCCGCGGCAGACGCTGAAGAAGCTTTCTGGACGTTTAGTTTCGACCCTGGATGTCAAAGTTGTTTCACTCAGCTTTGCTCCTTTAAGACTCAGGAAGAGGCCGGCTGAATAGATAAAGTCCATGAATGAGATACTCTAAATACCTCTAAATGCACGCTTGAAAAAATGCTAAGTGCGCTTAGCATTTCTTAGCATCTCGTGCCAAATGGGACACCGTTCGCGCCGTCGTGACGTCATGCACGCTTCAAATGCACCGTTCGACGGTGCAGAAGTGCACTTAGCTCGATGCGGTCTCTGAAATGAGACACAGCCACAGTCTATGGTTTCAAACTGTAACACTCCAGTCTGACAGGGGGCAGTATTACACCTCCAAACCACCCACAAAAGTTTTTAAAATGGAAAAGGAGAAGAAGAAGAAGTCAGACAGACTGTTTTGGATGGAAATGACCTCCTGGTTTCCCTCAATCTTAAAGCCATCATGAACTCTGTTGAAACACCAGATCCACTCGTCAAAGGTTCATCTCTGGACCAACAGGTAAGGCTGATTTTTCTTGTTTAGTGTGCTGGTTTGGCTCTCTTATTGATTTACCTGTGTCTCTGCAGTGTTTGGCTAACATGTGCTTGGTGCTCAGGTGTTGCTTTGGTGGTAGATGAACATTTAACCACTGCAGATTTAAAGTGAGATCTTTTAAGTTATTTTATGTTTCTAAAGTGGTGACATATTTAAGTTTAATGGATGTCAGGTTTATGTTTGACTTTTTCTGCCGCTCATTTTACTGGTTTTACTGGTTGGTTTATGATGTTCTGCAGCCTGAAATGTCCCTGTTATCTGCTGAATAGAGTGCTATGACATTTCTTGCAAACATTCCTGGTCCCCTGAGGATGAGTCTCACTGAATCCTTTTGTCGTCTCCTGACCTTTACTGCAGCACCCCCAGTTGAATGAATTGCAGTGATTTTTCTTTTTTTTTCACTGATGTCCCAAAACAGGAAAGATGTTTCCATTAATTCAAGATGAGGACACCACTGAGCACCAGGAGGAGCACAAAGAAGCTACTGGGTTTTGTTGAGGTTGATTCTTGTTTCTTCTGGGTGACTGGTTATAATATTTGGTCCTCTGCGCTACATGGCAGTGCAATAGCATTAAGTTTGAAGGCTGAAGGAGTCATGTGATCTTCTGAATGTGTCCTGAACTTTGCCATTTTATTAAAACATAATTGCAGTGATTTTATTCTAATTATAGGTCAGACTAAGTGTGCTGAACCAGGCTCTGAATGTTTGCCATGTGAGTTGGGTTTAATGCTCGAAAGACGCTGCACAAGGAATCTGACGTGATATGAATGACTACGTTTTCTGTGTTTGTTCTCTCGCTTTGAATGTTTGTTCAAGGAATACTACTGCCATATATTGACTGTAATGATCAGTCAGTGTTTCCTAAAGTTCAAGATGACTTCACACATTTGACAACAGCCTTTAGATGTTATTTTTCTTTTTAAAGGAAGTAAAGAAACAAAAAAAAGCCAGGGTTGTAGATAATTTGATCTTTAAATCTCAGAACTTCAATCATGAAGCATGTCTATTTGCATGATTCATTTCCAACATTTTGCATGTTAAAGCTTCGGGGTGGGAATCACCAGTGGCCCCAGGATATGATATTACCGCAATACTTTGGCCATGAGACGATATTGTTGTGATTTTTAATATTTTGCCATACAGTGAGTATTGCGATACAATATACTGTGATTTATACAATTTTTTCAATTGTTTAGCTAATTTAGTATTTGTCTTTCTTTTATGTTTGTCTTATTTACACTGTATTTTATTTTCATGTAGCACATCTTGCAAACCTTATATATATATATTTGTTGTACTAACTTTCTCCTGATGTCACCTCTGCCAACCTCACTGGACTAAGATTTTTTTTTTTCCATTATCATAGATTTGACTTCATATAAGCAATTAATTTGAGAAATTGATACTTGGTTAATGAGACGATACGATATATCACCACCAGGCTATGCTGTATCAATTTTTTCTCCTACCCCTAAAGCTCCTATGTGTAGTCTTGTTATGTTAATGAAATACACTCAAACTCATAGTGATGCTTTTTCATGATATCCCAAAACAGACAAGACCATCAACACCAAGACTGACAATTTTTATTGCCACAAAATTGGCACAAGGGGTTAGTGTGTTGGTCGAGCAGCTGGAGAAACAGCCCAGCTTTTACAGTTTTCTCATAGAACACTCACATTAAATGATAGATTTGACTGTTAGAAGTCAGCAGGATGCGAAAAATCCTACAATTGACACAAACTGAAAGATCCTTACAGGAGCTTTAAGACAGCTTTTAGGTCCAAATGAACAAAGTACAGAAACTCTTACCAGTGTTCCACTGTAGGAAAAAGATAAATGCATTGAGGTGAGCTTTATGATCTTGAATTTTATTTTATTTTTTCTGCTAAACTGGCACTTTGACGTCCAGTGAGCGCTTGCTGCTGTGACAGTGTTTGCACCTTGAAGGAGTTCCAGTTTGGCTGCTTTCTGTTTTCTACAGGTTTGATGGATCTACCGTGTCTATTAGAGGAGCATTATTAGGCTAAAATATCTCAAACTTGCAGATCTTTTTGCTTTTTATCTGTATTTTCAGTTTGGATTCTCTTTAGAGCTCTTTTTGCAGCAAACTTTAATGTATGCGAACAAGGTCTCAGAGAGTATTGGACATGCTTCAGGCTGCTGAGCTGCTCAGATCAGTTTGTGCTGAACTACATGTGTTGCAACAACACGAGGTGAACTATTTGTCTCCGAAAAGCTGTTACCTTTTTCAGTCCATCTGCCTCTGTCAGCCACAAGGTGTTCACCTGTCACTAATCCTAATTAACCATGATGCATTTCTTCTGACATGGCCACAACATAGAGTGAGGATAGACGGAGGCATAGAGGTGAGAGTAAGCACACAGAGGAGGGTTAAAACAGGCTGTTGGTATGTTGTAAACCAATTTGCATCGTGTAAAACTCGTGTACAGCTCACACACAAGCTCACACTGTTGGACACTACCAGGCTTTTTCTCATTGGCTGATCATTAATGCAGGAGCTTGTGTTTCTCCTGGCTGGGGATCAATACGGGTTTACACACATGCAGCTCCTAAGTTGGATGGTCTATAAATAACTCTGTTTGAGCTTTAGCCCATGACTGGGTGGCATGATGGATGGAGGAGAGGAAGCCATCTTTTCAACGGTGAAAGTGATATAAAAGCTTCAGAAAAGAGCAACTCTCCCGGGTGTCTGTGAAAGGTTGAGCGCTTTGACCAGAAGGAGCTGTACGTCAAATGCTTTAAGATGCAGCCAGATAGTTTCACTTCATCTTTTTCTTTTGGTTTGCTTTTATTTAAAGAAATTCTGATTACCTAATCTACCAAACCTGCAGTTCTTTAAGTGGCCACGAGGAGCTTGCTGCAAAGTGAGGCAATGTCAACTGGGCCCCATATATCATAGCAGAAACAAACCTGGTAAATTAGGGTGAGCATACATCTTCTTTTACCTGGACATGTCCTCTTTTGGGGGGCTGTCTGGCCTATCTGGGCTTGCCCGGCTTTGTCCAGGGAAGTTTATAAAATCCTTTAAATGTCTGTGTTTTTTCACGGAAGTAGAAGCGCGTAAAAGACACTCGATCCAACCTGAAATACTCTCAAAATTAACTTTGTGCGACTCTGTGACTCCGCTCTCGCGTAGTCATGCCCTCTTTTTGGGAAGTCAGAATATGGTCACCCTAGGTAAATACAGTTTTGATGCTGCTTTATTTTTCTATTTTTGGTCCACCTGTTTTTTTTTTGTTTTTTTTTTGTAAAAATCTATGTAGCAACTCTGTCGTTTCAAACACAGCAAATATATACACATCTTCTTTTCCAGGACAACCTCAGCTGTCAGTTTATGGGTGCAAAAATTATGTAAAATGAATGTGACAGTAGATTCATAACCATCAAAGTCAACCAAAAAACAAAAATAGAAATTGATACCAACAGTACTTTGCACAAAAACACATAAATCTACAGTGACCGAGCCTTTTCTCACCTGCACATCATTCTCTCAAGTCTTGGCTATCAGGAGAAGAAATATTGGGATTGGAACAAACACACAACAGAAACTATTTACACTAATTCTTCCGGGCGTTTTTTGCTATTTCCAGTTGTTTATGCCACTCCTTGAAGCAGTTCCTGTCTGGGATGAGACAGAGGACCACATCACTGCTCATAATCTCTTCTTTGCTTGTTTCCAAGCATTGAGGACCATTATTTCTTATTTTACGGACAAGCAGGGAACTTTCTTGTCTCTCGTTGATCTTTGGTTGCCCCTTATCAGACACTACCGTCAAGGGAACAATAGAAGAAGAATATGAGGCCATGTAATTGGTCGAAAGTTTGACAGAAAAAGACGTCATCAAAACAGCTTATCGAACCCGGGAGACATTAGCGGCTTTTAGTGATAGCAATTTTTTTTTAATCACAACAATATGATAAATAATCATGTTTTCACCGGTATATCACAGCAGATTTACCCTCAAACGTCTTTGATCAAACACCTATTTTTGTGGCTGGATTGTAAACCTGGTGGGAGGTGTAGAAAGGCCTGAAAACCCTTGATAGATCGCCAAAAGGGTAAGGTTTTGAACACTTTGTATCCCATAGAGAGACACAATATAGTTCCCAAGAAACTGTAAGCAATATTAATGGTGTCACATGGGATCGCCGGCGATCCAGCGGAGTTCTAAGTGT